TGCTCGAGGGCAACGAAATTATCAGAGAAGAAGGAAATTTTCAAAATTAATTTTCTTACTTTGAGGAGTAGGTGCTGTCTGGTGCCATTACCTCAGCTGCTCCGGTGGTTGTCGAAGTTTTTGTTGAGATTATTACTTGAACTCGAATATAGTTTACTATCAACTATTACTTTATTTATCTATTTCGATACAGACTGAACAATTTACTAACTGGATTAATACCGCAATTACAATGTGCGTTTCTGTCTAAGCGATGAAACGAGGATTTCAAAGATAAAATCTTTCCTTTAGTTAGTCGCGACTCTCTTTTCCTGACCGAAAACTAAAGACCCCGAAACGCAAAATACTATAAAAATTTATAAAGAAGAGCGCAATAACGAACGTAGTAACAATGAACACAAAGAGTGAACAAAATAATTATGAACCGTAATAACGAAGATCGCAATAATAATGAACACAAGAATAATGAACAAAAAATAATGAACGGCAATAACAATGATCACTATAATAACGAGCAAATAATAATGAACGAAGAATAATGAACGTAATAAGAATGTTCACCAGAATAATAATGAGCGCTGCTCTATGTTGCTTCGCTTATTTATAATGCCATCCCCCACGGGGTGGTGGTCCGCTGGGGGTACGCTTCCGTGGGAATCGGGATGTTGCAGTTTGGGTTTCTTGGAATCGTACGTGACAAAATGTAAATTCCATATTTCGACTTAGTTTCCATCGCTCCTGTGTTTCTGCTGAGCTAGCGTCTAGGAGACTTGAAGCATTCCATGCTGATCTAGTCCTTTCTTCGATTGTAAAATGTTTTCGGGTAAAAACCTTTCCTTGATTTTTAGAATCACTGGATTGAGGCAAGACGTGTGGTTCAGCTTCGAATATGGGAGAGTCTTCGGTTGACGTATCTATTTCGAATCTTTTTGAGACAGGATAGCGAATCGGTGAGACTTCCTCTCTCTTTCTGATTGGTAAACAAACTTCCGGAGGGTTTCTAGATAATGCGTCTGCGTTTGCGTTCGCCCTGCCTTCTTTGTATACAATATCAAATTCGAAGTCCGATAACTTTAATTTCCATTTCCAAATTCTTGAAGTAGGATCTTTGATAGAATGCATCCACACTAAAGGTTTATGATCGGTTACGATGGTAAACTTTCTTCCGTAAAGATACGATCGGAAGTGCATTGCGCTATAAACAATTGCCAGACACTCCTTTTCTATGGTAGAATAGTTTTGTTCGGCGGGATTTAATAGCCCTGAGGCATACGCAATCGGCAAATCCTTTCCGACTGGCCCTTGACTCAGTACACCGCTTATTGCATATCCTGATGCGTCTGTAGTAAGGTTAAAGGGTTTAGAAAAGTCTGGATATTGTGGAATGGGTTTTGTCATTAGCGCTGTCTTTAAATTATTGAATGCATTTTCTTGATTTTCTGTCCATTTAAAGGGAGTGTCTTTCTTTAATAATTGTGTCAATGGTTTTGCGACCTTGGAGAAATCGGGTATAAATCTTCTGTAGTATCCTGCTAGTCCCAGAAATTGTTTGATATTTTTCACCCTTTTTGATCGTGGAAATTTTGATACGGCTTCGATTTTCTTTGGGTCGGGTTTCAGGCCATCCTCACTGTTAGAATTTAATCTTAGAATTAGGATTAGTATTCTGTGGAAGACACAATGTTTGTGTTGAAATAATACAATGTGATATTTATTAGAGACTTATTTTAAGAGTTATAAATGTGCGTTCTCGAATGTAGACAGTTGGCTAGTTATTCACAGACTGACTGGCGTAGTGACCCATGGCCCCTGAAAAGGTTTAGAGCCCCACTCTCTATGCAGTAATGAGTGTGACCTGTGTGGGTGTCTGTGTGGCGTCACATGTGGCACAGAACCTTCTAGTAGCTTCTCGACGTGCCCATCTAGAATGTTCCATCCATATCCTCACGTTTCTTCCGGCGTTTTTGAAAAAGCATGCACGTGCTAACTGCCGTGGTGCATCTCACGAACGCACGCTAGTGGGGATGGCGCTGGGCAACGAGCGGAAGAATCCGTATGATCAAACACCTTATCTGCATGCGATTGATATCGTTGTATTCCAACACTCACTAATTATATGTCCTAAATAATTCACCTCGTGTCGTAAAAATTCGCAGTTATCAGGCTGTAATCGTAATTTAGCTTTCCTCAGTCTTTCCATTAACTTATTAAATTTAATTTCGTGTTCTTGGAGAGACCTCGAATAAATCACTATGTCATCCAGATAGACGAATAGTTCTATTCCTTGCAGACCAGATAATATTGAATTCATGAAATGTTGAAATGTTGCTGGGGCATTTTTTAATCCAAAGGGCATTCTTTTGAATTGAAAATGCCCGTATGGTGTCGAAAATGCTGTTTTGTGGCATCTTCCTGTGACATACGGATCTGGTGAAAGCCCGATGCCAAATCAAACGTGGAAAAATATTTTGCACTTCCTAATTGATCCAATATTTCTGTAATGTTGGGTAGTGGGAAGGCATCGCCAATCGTTTTATCGTTCAATTTTCTATAATCGATGACTAATCTCCAGCGCTTATTTCCTTGCGAATCGGGTTTTTTGGGCACAATCCATAACGGGGAGTTATATGGAGATGTTGACGGTTCCACTACGTCCGTATCTAGTAGTTCCTGGACCTGTCGATTTATTTCTTCTCGATGTATTGGTGGATATCGATACTGTTTAGTATTGATGGGTATATTATCCGTCGTAATTATCCTATGTTCCAGAACTTCGGTTGCTTCCAATGTATCTCCTGGAATATGAAACCTATCTTGATTATTACGAATCAATTTTTTAACGTTTTCTTTTTCTTCTTCGTTCAAATGTTCGAGTCGTAGTAACTCATTTATTTTATCGTATTTACTTTCCTCCGATTTTAGAATTGTATTGCATGCTGTCCTAGGAAGCGGGGGGGGGGGGATTTCAAATTCTTTAATTACCATCGTTGGTGTTGTAAATACGTAATGTCTCGAAGTAGTATTTATTACTCTTATGTAACCTTTTCCTTTATGATTCCTCTCCATCCATTATTGCCAATCTAAAATTTCTAACGCGATCCATATAATCTAATATATCTTCCCCGGGTCGTTGAAATATCGTTCCTAATTCCCCTTTATATTCGTTAAGAGATTTCTTTGGGCCGAATAGATCCTTTAATTTGTTTCCGAAATCATTTAGACTCATTAATTCTGTGTCTTCGATGGCGAGGAACGCGTGTCCACGGAGCTTATTTACTAACAATTTTACTAATTGAGGTTCTTGATATCTGGGAATCATATTTCGCGCGCGCTCACAAGCTCTTAAAAAGTGGAATACCGATAGTCGATATCCGTCGAACACTTCGATATCCGTCAAACACTGGCACCGATTCGATCGCATCTTTTAGCTTAATTGGCTGGGTATGTCCACTCGGCTGGACCGTCTCTTGTCGCGTTGTCGGCGGCGATACGGGTGTTTTAGGTTCTGCTGGACCGTCTCTTGTTGCGTTGTCGGCTGCGATACGGGTGTTTTAGGTTCCTGTTTTGTTTTAAGTTCAAATAATCCGCTTTGTACAAGTGTACATAATCCGCCTTTCAACAAGTGCGTTTCGTTGTTTCGTTGTTTCGTTGAGATTTCTTCTCCTCATTTTGGATTTTAGGTTCTTCGCACTCCGTTTCACACTCTGACATCCAATTTTCAGCTTTTTGTGTTCCATCAAATTGTTTTAAGGTGAAGTTTGTGTATTTTCGACCAATCGCGGGGAGACGCAATCGCGATGAAATACGTCAACGGGAGTCCTAAATTCCTGTTACTATTGTAATAATCGACGCCGTGAATAGATCGATTCCCTGATTTCCGTTGAGATAATAGGGGTGGTTGAGGTGGTATAACGCTGTGATTAACAGGGTTATAAAGTTTATGTTTCCAACACTTAAGAGTAACCTTGAGGCGTACGTATAAGTTAAGTATAGTTAAATAAGCCGTAAAGTGAAAAAACAGCCCGAAATATGATATATAATAATCTAAACAATGCTATGAATATTTCGATGGGAGCTCGTTGATGGCGCAATTTCAACTGAATATAAACTGTTCGAAATTTTGAGTGGCCATCTGTTTATGGCTCGGGCGGGCCCTATCCCTTCTTTGGGAAATTCCGAATTACGTGTCCTCCCCGAGCTATAAACTTAATGGCATAATTATTGATACGCTCCATAGAAAATTAAAGTTGTCACGCTTGTCAATAAAATATATATTTAAGAAACAATGGCGACTGTAGTGGAATCGTTGGACGAAGAAATGGTTTTGACATTGTCGGAAAAGCTTAAAGCATGGGATGCGAACTTTCGCGATATGAGTGCAAAACTCGCCGAACGTTAGCGCATCCGATTCCCGTCGCGCCCGTCAGCCTCGCCGTCGATGCATCCGATTACGCCATAGGAGCGGTACTCCAACAGCGAGTTAACGAAACCTGGCAACCGTTAGATTTTATGACAAAATTGCTACCCCTCGCACAACAAAAGTACAGCGCGAACGACCGAGAACTACTCGCGATGTACACCGCGGTGAAACGGTTTAGATATGCCGCCGAAGGAAGAGATTTCGCGATTTACACTGACCATAAACCCCTGGTATATGCGTTTGAGCAAAATCCTGACAAATGTTCGCCAAGACAATTCCGTCAGCTCGACTATGTTGGGCAATTTACCATCGATATCCGACATATAAAAGGAATAAGTAATACCGTAACCGATACCTTATCCCGAATAGAAGCGATTGGGAAGTCCGTCGATCATCAAACGTTAGCCGCAGCGCAAGAGAACGATACCGAGCTGCGCAAAATCATTAAGTCCGGCTCTAGCGCGCTGCAATTGAAAAAGATACGATTTCTCGATTAGGATGTCCGGATTGCGATCTCACGAAGGAAACCCCGCGATCGTATGTACCGGAACCGTTACGTCGCACCATATTCTCGTCGTTACATGGACATTCCCATGCGGCAATGCGCGCCCAAATTAGTTACTGCATTAAATTTAGTATAATTCGCATTTCACGTAATATTGCATAAGTGCGAACAAACAAATTTTTCCATCCAAGGAACTAATTATTACACATAATAATAGAATTCAAAAACAGATAACGGCAAATCACTATAA